AAATATGCGTTTGAAAAATACCAAGATTGTGATTTCACATCAGTGTATAATAGGAGAAAACTTGTTTTCCCTATTCTGGGTTTTCCCAACTATTCTAATAAAAAGTTAATAACAACTGCATAAAACTTTACAAAATGCTGTAGGTACCTATATGTTAGCCATTCTATTCCAGTCATTTATGGATCAATAAATGGTTGAATAATTGTGTAACATTTCCTGGAAAATCAGTTCAATGACATTACAAATGTTCCGCTTAGGATCTTCTAGGCTATATTTGAGCAAAGCATTACCGCATCTTTCCTTGACATAACCCCAGAGAAAAAAGTCTAGAACTCTCAAGTCAAGAGTGTAAGGTGTCCATTCTATAGACCAGCTTTTCTTATCCGTCTTTCCCCCAAATGTCATATCTAGTGATTTCCTTGCTATTAAAGAATAACACCATCCTGCTGAAAATAGATATCATTCAAAATAATCTCCTGTCTTAACTGTGGGAAAAAGAACATATCAGTGTATACAGTTTCTGTTATTGTTGGTTCATCAGTGAAAATGGTCTGCATTTTTTTTGAACAGAGATTGCACACCAAACTGTAACTGTTAGGGTATCTCTATTTGATGAGTTCCAGAGAAAATACTTTGGAACTCGTAAAATTTTCTTTACAAAATTGTTCGTTTGCAAAAATACCAAGATTTCGATTTTGATTTTTTTTCTATCTAATCTAAATAACACTTATTGCAGATCTATAGCTATTAAATCTAAGAAACAATCACTAGAAGACCTGAAATTTATCGAACAAGAAGTCCGGATAATAATGCTTTCTGAAGGTATCATTGAAAAGAGTAATTCGGCTTGGAGAGCTCAAGCTTTAGTCACTTCCATTACAAATCATAAGAGACGAATGGTAATCAATCAACTATAAACAGATTCACTGAACTAGACGCATATCCACTTCCAAACATAGAAGGCATTATTTCAAAAGTGTCAAGATACCAAGTTTTCAGCACTATAGATCTAAAGAGTGCATGTCACCAAATTCCAATTCTCGAACATGAAAAACCTTAAGCTGCGTCCACATTAGTAAAAATTTACGTTGTGCGTGGTATTCGGCACAAATTTGTGTGTGCGATACATATTTATGCGAGTGTGGACCTGTTCGCCACATACGGACGCATGCAAAAATTTTCGCGACATTCGCCGCACGCGATTCGCGGCTTGTCGGTTTTTTTTAAGACGTCAATGGGATTTGCGGCGCAACATCGTTCTAGTGAGGACGCATTTTTTCGCGAACGAAACAGATAACCCAAAACAAGCCAACGCGCACACTGAAATAAAATAGGCACACACGCGTTGAGCAAGAACGCACGACGCTCAACACAAATATTTATGTCAGTCAAGATGCCAAATTTTCGCTGCAAAAATTTGTGGCGAGTCCCGAATTTAACACAACGCATTTATTTACTAATCTGGACGCAGCTCTATACAGCGTTTGAGGCGTGCGGCGAACTATATCAATTCACGAGAATTCCTTTTGGTGTTACCAATGGAGTTGCTAGTTTTCGAAGAGTTGTTGACGGTATAATCAAGAAAGAAAATCTTCAAGGCACATTTGCCTATCTTGATGATATCACAGTAGGTGGTAAGACTTAAGAAGGGCATGACAAACATCTTCAAAAATTCTTCAAAGTTGCTGAAAAGTATAAACTTACTATAAACTGTACTAAATTAAAGTACGGACAAAAATAAATCTCGTAGGATATGAAATTGAAAATCAACAAATCAAACCTGATCCTGATCGACTTCGTCCATTCTTAGAATTGCCTCCACCAGGAGATTATTCTTCATTAAAACGAGTATTGGGAATGTTTTCCCATTATGCGAAATGGATTCCAAGATTTTCGGATAAAATCAGACCACTCGTACAAACACAATCATTTCCTATGTCACGAGAAGCTCTATCGACTTTCAAAGTTCTAAAAGAAGATATTTCAAAAGCTGTTGTCACTGCCATTGATGAAAATCTCACATTCACAGAAACAGACGCATCAGACTATGCCATTGGAAGTTGCTTATCACAAAATGGAGCTCCTATAGCATTTTTCTCAAGGACATTGTCGGAAAGCGAGAAACGTCATTCGTCAGTCGAAAGGGAAACCTATGCCAATCAACGCTCTATTTCTTTTATGTTTGATGATAAGCATGCAGGAAAAATAAAAAATGATAAAATACAACGATGGCGGTTGGAATTGGCCTGTTACAAATATGACATTGTATATAGACCAGGAAGAGAAAACATAGTGGCTGATGCTTTCAAGGGTTTGTGCCGTTATAAATGCTAAAGAAGATCAACAGAAACTGTTAAATCTGCACTATACATTCTGTCATCCAGGTGTCACGAGAATGATTCATTGGGTTCGTAGCAAAAATCTACCGTATTCAGTTGAGGATATTAGGAAAATGATTGCCAACTGTTCAGTCTGTTCACAAGTAAAGCCCCGATTTTTCGAAAATAAAGGAACATTAATAAAAGCAGCAGTTCCATTTGAAAGATTATCCATGGATTTTAAAGGACCATTACCAAGTTCGATAAACAATCAATTTATACTCACTATAATCGATGAATACTCCCAATTTCCTTTTGCTTTTCGCCCTGATGTTTCAGCAGCTTCCGTTAAGAAGAACTTGACAAGTATTTTTCAACTATTTGGAATGCCAAATTTTATACACTCAGATCGTGGATCTGCTTTCATGTCTTCAGAATTGAAGAACTTTTTGCAAGAGCGAGAAATAACTACCAGTAGAACTACCAGCTGCAATCCAGAAGGAAATGGGCAAATAGAGAGAGAGAATGGTACGATTTGGAGAACAGTTCAATTAGCGCCTCGATTAGCGCTGAAATCGTAAAACTTGAATCAAATGAAATAGAATTGAATCAACCGCTACCGACTTGCTCATAAAGTCGCTTCTCTGACAAATGGGCGTAAGCGACAATATTTCTAAAATACAGATTATTCCATGAAAATATCTCTATGGAGTATATACAGTGAGGGGCAAGCTACTAGGTATATAGGATGTAACCTGACGAATTTGCAGGCGTCCGCATGTCAGAAAATGACAAATCGATTTAGCGCTAACCCGGCGACAACCAAGTAAAAAGTTTCTAGGGTTGTTAATAAATTTCAAAAATACGGTTGTGTTTCTCCCTGAAACCAAAGGAAATGACGTCCCGGAAAATAATGAGGATCAAGAAGCCAAATAAATTATGTTGTTGGTTGTTGGCATTAGTTAACAAAACTGCAACTATTTCGACTCGTGCGCTTGCGCAGGATATTGACTCAAGTACAAGGACGGTTAGGAGCCACAGAAAAAAAAAAGTATCGTTCGTACAAAGTAAGAAACTCCCAAAAAATTGATCCTGAGGACAACATCAGGCGAATGGATTTTTGTGAAACTGTCATTAATAAGGCAAATGAAAATCAAGATTTTCTTAGAAAAATTGTCTTTACAGATGAGTCGACATTTCAACTCCATGGTCGACATAATCCTAGTCACACCCGTTATTGGTCTAAGGAGAATTTACACAGGTATTTTGAGCTTAGAGCCCAGCGTCGTCAAAAGGTAACTGTCTGGAGCGGTTTGTGTGGATAACATATTATTGGGCCGTACTTCATGGACGCTAACTTAACTGGTCCAAAATATTTGGATCTTTTGCAACGGGCCAACGGCAGATAATTCCAGAAATTGAAAGATTATCTGGTCCTATAGATTTAATGAAATATGGTATCAATAAGATGGATGGGTCCAGCCCATAATACGGGTTTCATTCTGGACCATTTGAATAATACTTTTCCGAACCGTCTCATTGCTGGGTCGAGAGCTACAATACTGTGACGCTCTCCCGATCTTGCACCCATCGATTATTTTCTCTGGGGTTATTGCAAATCAAAAATGTATGGTTTTCAGGAGAATCGCGCCGTGAACCTTGAGCAGCTGCGTTTCAAAATTCGAGAAATATATCTAACTGTCACCCCTGTGATGCTAAATAATATTCGTAGAGCCTTGTATGATCGTTTAGGTCATTGTTTAGTTCAAGAAGGTGGACTGGGACTGTTTGAACATTTGCTACATTGTAGTGCAAATGGTAATCGAGCCAGGTTTTTGGGGTCAAAACTAGAATTTTTGTTTTTATTTTACTTAATTTTTTTTCTATTTTTTATGTTGAATATATTTTTAATTTTTCCTGGATGGCTTTTTTAAAATATATGTTTTTTTTCCATAGATTATTGTTTCGGTTCCAAAAAAAATCTATCTATACACGCCGTTTAATAATTATAAGTAAGTGAAGCTCGACGATACATCTAAAAGCACGGTCTAGATGCTACGTTTTGCATCAAGTTTTGTCTGCACAGTTCAACACGTGATCAGGTATCAGTAACGTAACGTCTGGACCGGGCTTAAGTCTGTAAAATCATAAAACGTACTGATGTGAACCATGATTTATGAACGTCAAAGTCATCGAAAAAACGACAGCGGACCGACAGCGACAGGTGTTCAGACGGCTGCGGACGATCGTAAATTCGTCAAGTTGGATCCTATATACCTAGTAGCCTGCCCCTTACTGTATATGATCTGACCAACGGGCGTAATTGTATAAGTAATATCTTCCCTATTAGAACGTGGTTGGTATGGGCGGAAGCGACATTAAAAGTAACCGCAGGATCTTAGAAAGAGGCGTATATCCCGGAAACGAATTTACGCCTTTTTGTCAGATTTCCAACTAATAATGTTTGGCAGATGTGCCCCCGATGAGCTACTTAGCACCGGCAACCATGTAGCATAAATTGATTCATAATCATTTCGTTCGTTTCCTGGTGGTGTTAACCCTGCAAGGTTTTCTACATTTTTTTGTTGAAAGTGAAGATATTAAGTTTGAGTTTGAGTGTGCCTTTTAATGCAGTGGTATCTTTTTATAGGTAAGTTATCAGTAGTTATAAGCAAAAACAACATGAAAAAGATGGCACGCACCCTAAGAACAGAAGGAAAAGCTTACGTGAGTTCCTATTTGAGAAAGCAAGTTCCGCAAAGAATCATGAAGCCGCGATGTGATTCTCAAAAATGTAAAAATTATGGCTGCAAGTTGTTTACTGACGAAGAATACCAAGAAATATTTCACGCTTTCTACAATATACAAAGTCTTCAATTACAGAGGGAGTTCGTTGTGCGCCATATCAATGAGAATAATGTTAAAAAGAGAAGAACTGCTGCAACAGAGTTCATAAGTACAACAACTTTGGCTTATTGTTTACCAAAGGCAGAGGATCATTAACAGTTTGTAAAATTACCTACGTTTCAGAACACACTGGCAGTTTCCGAAAAAGCAGTTCGGACGGCAATAAGCAAGAGAACGGTGGAAGGCATAGTTCCGTTCGATAAACGTGTAGGGGCGTTGCCTTATGCAAACTTGAAACAAAAAGACGAATTTATGAGAGCCTCAGCTCTGGCTCACATACAAAAGTTCCCAAAAATGGAGTCGCTCTTTTATAGAAAATCGACTTCAAAAAAATATTTACATCCCGACTTAAACGTGAAGCAAATGTTTAACTTGTACCAAGAAGAGAGCCTGAAGCAGCCAAAATGCAGCTACCATACTTACTTTAGAGTATTTGAATCACTGAATCTGTCCTTCCACCATTCCAGGAAGGACCAATGCAGTCTTTGTTTGTCGTACAGGGAAGGTGATGCAAATAAAAAATTAGAGTTTCAAGATGCATACACTGCAAATGTCGCCGAGAAAAACACTGTGTGCAAAAAGAAGGGGGATGCTAAGGAAATGCCCAAAAACAACCCAGCTTTAATAACTGCTGCTGTTTTTGGCATGCAACAAGTTATTCAGTTACCTAAAGTAAAGAAAATGCATTCTCTTATCGTCGTCGTTTGTTGGTACCTATTTACCTTCAGTATTCACAATATAGGCAATAGAGAGTGCTACTGCTTCTCTTGGTCGGAAGTTATGAGTAAAAGAGGTGCCGATGGAATGTCTACATGGTTGGCAGATATTTACACAACTGGACAACCAAGGAATAAATGAAGTGGTTGTGGTGGCCAGAACAAAAATACAATAGTTTTCACCATGTTACTACAAGTTGTCGCAAATTCAAAAAACATACGTGAAATTGTATTTTCCTTTTTCCAAAAAAATCATGGGCAAAATGAAGGGGATTCCGTTCATAGTTCTATTGCAACAGCATTTCGGTCCGCCGGAAATAATAGGAATGTTCACAAAATCAAAAAATCCCGTTTAACAATCATTAAATTATTAAGCATCGTTTCATAAGTAAATCTACAAAATTTTTCGAAAATCAGAAAATTCTTTCTTTGAGAAAAACAGAGACGAAATATTAATATTGGTTTAAACGCACGAAACGCTCTCTGACGTCACGATGCGTAATGAGTTAGCGCGCGCATGTACAGTAGCGCTACTAGCACCGATTTGCGTGCGAAAAATACCACTTTTCCGCACCTCGTAGCAAAACACGTACGTAGGTACCACCTTTTTCGACTCAGTTTAACTTTGTTTGAGTCTCCCATCACTACACAAACACAGATAATTAGAGTGAATGAAGCTTTTCGGGATAAAGCAACATTCAACAACATAATAAATTCAATGTAAAATTGTAAACAAATCTCGCAAACGCGCCAACTGATTGTTCGTTCCGCACAGTGACGTCACAAGTGCTACTATCGCCGCAGGGGATCGTTTTGCTAGCCTCGCTAATTTCGTTTTTTTGTTTTCGTTTTATCAGAAAAAATAAAGGGTTTCTAGATGTTTTAACGCTTAATACGTGTTTTGTGGAACTAGAACCACCACTTTTTATTACAATTGAAAAATAGTGAACATTCCTATTATATACCAGTACAGTTCAGTTACCCCCCATCTTTAGACTCGCCAGAAGAAATTTTCCGTACACGGTTTTTGAAATGACCACCGAAGAATTTCTTGATTATAAATCATTGGCTGAAAAAATCCGCCTTCGCGTGACCAGAAAACTAGACTCTGGTGGAAATGTGGACTGGACCAAAATTAAGGAAGTAATGGTAAACAAAGATGACGTCACTGTAATCGATATTAAAAAAAGTCACCATGATGCTGAATATCAGCAACTGCCACTACAAAGACTACCACCTGACGTGCTCCAAAAACCTATACCCAAATTAAACAGTGGCCAGATAAAACTCCCAGCAAATAAATACAAAGATCTTACGGATCTATGCACAGATCGGATACAAGTCGTACGAGATAAAACTTTCCAACAATTCTTCATGGACCTTCCCCATGATTGGAATAATTAGCTTCTCGTTCTCTTTTTTTAGAATAAAGTTATTTTGTTAATTTCTTGTGATTTATACGGATTAAACCGATTTTTTTTTTCAATGTTAACTTTTGTTTGTGTTTCGTTCATAGAGTGGGATTTTCTTTTTGTTCTTTACTGCATATTGTTACTAAAGTTTTGTTAAGTGCATTACTAGGCTTAAGTAAGATAACAATAATATTCAGATCTGACGAAGGGACGTATGTCCATCTAAGTCATATTTTATCATGTTCGCCTGAAATTTCTTGAATTCGAATAGTAATTGGAAAAAGTATCACTGAAACTGCTTTTCAATTAACACAAACATGGAACCATGTATATGATACATTTTCTTTAAATTGCTTTCCTGTCAAATAATGTTTATGGTACTTACGCCCATTTGTCAGATAAGCGACGAATAGTAACTCCGAGAGCAACTCTCAAGATTCTCCTTCAACAGCATACAATATAGAGACACGTCCGAATAGAGATCATCGATTACCATCCTACCTGAAAGATTACATCCATTGAAAGAAGAATAAGGGAAGAATGTTGTGAACATGATTTGTACATATTCAACAGTATGTTACCAGTTGTTTAATTTTGTCATTTGATATGTTATTGCTGTGTGTTATTGTCATCTATGATTGCCATTGGGTGGTATGAATGAAAACGAAGTACCTACTACTACTACAAGCATGGGCGTCGTTTGGGGGGGGGGGGGGGGGCACCACTTGGCACAAGGGGGGGGGGGCAGCACTTGCTCGACTTGTGGAACTCGCCTACGGCTCGGTCGAACAAACTGTCTCGCCGTGCGAAAAAAGTCGTTTTCAAAACTTGTTGTTTAAATAACTATTTCACCATCATGTCTGGACATAAAAACTGTGTTATTTTGATTGTTAAGTAAATTCAAATAGCATACATCGTTACCAATTAATTGATTATCGACATCGCAAGCCACGAAGGATCGAACGAAATTTGGCAAGTTGTAGTCCTCTAATAATAGACTATTATAGTATAGGGAAACCTGTCCATGATACGCCACCACCTCTTAGTTTACCTGTCGGTATAGTCGCGTAACTACCAACTACCATGTCTTCCGTTGCCTGTCGTTTTACTCTATTTATATAGAGCAATAGAGCCAGGCTTTTCTCTCGCCTGTACTATACCTACTAGTTCACTGGTTACCCCCTTACCGGAAAAATCAGTGCTGGAAGAGATAGAGGCATCATTGAATTGCATAAACAATATCTGAAGCAATTTGCATAAAGTTGGTTGTGCGGCAAAAAAAATCTCCCCAAACAAACTTTCGCGTGTGTTTGCATTTTGCAGCAGTTTGATACAAAATCCCCCTGATCTTCCCACCACAGAATGTCTCTAGAGTTAGATACCAAAAACACACAAAAAAATATCGTACTTTTTCAATATCTCGAATACGGTCTTTAGGTCTGAAATAAAATTTGATTTAACGTTGAGTTGCATCAACAGTATGTACTTAATTAATTATCTATTATCACTCAACGGTTTATGGAATGAAATAATAATATATAATTAATAATTCATTGTTTCACGTTACTTCGTTCAAACATTTTAATTTCGCCAATCTAATTTTTCTCTGCAAAAGATAAACTAATATTACCGCCAAAGGCGTAATTATTTCTTAAAAACAATAATCAGCAAGAAAACAAATTATGAATGAATAAAGAAAGTGTTTTTGCAGCAATCTCTATGCGTGCAGCCAGGAGAATAATGAGACAAAATGTGAAGATTGCGAAGCGGCTCAGCATCTGTCAGTTGACCGTTGGAGTTATGCAACAAAATTTTTGTTGTAATCGGCTAAGCACCGGATTGCTTTACAAAAGAAACATTTCAATTTGTCCCAATAAAGAAAGAAAAAAATCGTGAGAGCGCACCCACACTTTAATGGTTTTCGTTTGTTTTATGAAGGGAAAATGTTTGGCTGAAATTAATTTAATTGGTAATTGAAAAGTTTTGTTCTAGTTTCTGCGAAAATTTAAAATAAAAGTTGAGAAGTTTAACAATTAGATTGAAAGTTTGGCGGAAACCTTAAAAAGACTATTCTTTTAAGAAATTTCGAAAAACAGAGACAAAATATCTGAAGAATCAAAAATGAACTATTTTAAACTAAAAACAAAAATAACTGATATTATGTTGCATGACTAATACCTCTAATTATTTATTAAAATACACCGACTGTACTCAAGATAGCACTTATAACAATTAATATCTCCTTAAATAAAACGTTATTTGTTCATAATTATATAGCAACTGGCCTGTGAAAGTACACACTCAAGAAAGTCAAGAATACTCTTTTGACCTATTGCCTTTTCTTTTATTTGACGGGTGATTTACTGTATTCTATGATGGCACTTGAGTAGGAATTTTATTTTTTTTATCAGATTATTGTCTTGCTTAATAAAATATGCAAATAAAGAGTGGATCAATGTAACTTGGGTAAATTAGAATTTTGTAACGTGTGTGCTGTGCAGTTGCCCATTTAGTTATGGGATCTGTATAGTAATGGGCGGATTTGCAAACAAAAGATTTTGAATTTTCTGTGAATATTGAAATTGGGTTAGTTATGGTGTTTGTGGGTTGTGTGTAATTTTTAATGAGGACACTTTAGTACAAAATATAAATTTATTCTTTACTTAAAATACAAATTGTAACTTGGAAAAAATAAAATAAAAATTTTCACTTAGATTATTAATTTACAGTGTGTTGGATTTTCTTGGCATGCAACGTTTCAATTACAATTGATGAAAAATTTTCTGCCTGCCAAGAAAATCCAACACACTGTAAATTATATAACAGACAAAGAAACTTGTAAAAATTGTAGATTATTAGGAAATTTGTTATTATGATGTTGATGGTTCAGATTTTTCTTTATAATGTATAACTCCTTTTGCTATTAAATCAGGAATTTCTACTGCTAACCATGGACCAAGCTGTAAAAATAATTAAATATAAAGCATCTTGTAAACATTTCATAACAATGATACTTACACCTAGAGCCATAGCATGTCCAATACCAAATTTGGGCACATTTCTTGCCCATAAAGGTTTGAAATGGTCGCTGAGACATATTTTGCCACCTCGGTACATTTTTGCAGTTTTACCGTCTAGTTCTGGCAGTGCTATTTCTGGGGCGGTGGTGGGATAGGTAACTGCAATCTGAAAATGAACTGATTATTAGAAAGAGCCTGCGCCTTATAATCTAGAATAGAATAGTATTGCTGATGTCAACTGTCGACTAGTTTTTAACTTAATAGTAAGAATTAAGGGCTCCTATGTAACATTTAAGCACAATTTTAAGCTTTTCAGTAGTAGCCCAAGTCCTTTCGTTTCTTTTGTGAATTTTGGATTGTTGGTTTTCAATACCCCGTTTTATTTGTTGAGTAGATGTATTCTCTCTCTCTTGACTATTTGATTTCCTACTTGATTTGATGTTTCATCTGTAGTGGGATTTTTCAGTTTTGCTAGATTTCTTGTCAAGCCAAAGATGCTTCTCGTTCTGGAAACATTCCCAGCATTCTATTGTTGATGCACTTCCTAATTGTTGGAATTCTGGAGTGATAGCAGCATCACCAGTGGTTCAGCCATCCTTTATTTGGAAATAATAATATTGATCTTTGATTGAGGTCTTCTGAACCGGTAGCATCGATGGATGCAAGTCCCTTAATCTCAGATTTATTCGGAGCCCTGCTCACTGCTCCAATTAGCTTTTAACCGAGCTTTTACCCATCCATTTTTGTTTGGAACTTATAGTGACATTGTGTGTAATTATGTTTCTTTTCGCATTTGTTTGTTTATAGTGTTGGCCTGTCAAAGAATTTTTCTTTGATTTTATTTTGAAAATTGTGATAAGTAATAAGGTTCTTGGATTGCATATAAGCATTATACACTAGGAGTCTATAGTCCGTTCATAAAGTCTATAGACTTTTTTGATTGTGTGATCTAAGATTTTGCGGCCTCACTAGGGCCTTGGGTTAATAGTTTAAATTGAGTGCTGATCGCCCAAGTCGACCTCCTAATTTTGGCCAATCAGCGTCCAAAATATCAGATCACGCACTCGGAAAAGTCTACAGACTTTATGAATGTATTATATTAAGAGTAAGCAGTCTACTATCAGAGTTGAAATTGCCTGAATTGAGCTGAACTATACAAGGCTCCCAGCATGTATACAGGGTGACAATTTGAAAACGAACAATCGGGAATATCTCTTAGACAAAAAATACTATCAGGAAGTTCTCAAAACTACCCCATAAACAAAAAAATTCTGTCATAAAAGTCTCGAATACTCATCGGCGAAACCAAATAATGCGATTATCGTAATTCTATCTGCTTTTGGACGTCTTTCAAGACGAATAAAAAACCTTTCAAAGAAGCTATCACACGGGGTAGGTTCTAATTTTAGAGAAATTATTAGGAGCGGGGGTTAGGCAATAAACAAAATTGGTTCCTCGATGTGTATTTGAGACTTTTATGACAGAATTCTTTTGTCCAATACAAAGTCAAAATTACTAGTTTTCAAAATATGCTCACTTTTAAACACCGATATCTCAAAAGCCAATCGTCCTATTCAAGATTTTGCTATATGACTGTAAAGGGATAGCAACGAGCTATCGAACGATGTGTATCACGAGGTAGGTTCGTATTTAAAAAAAAATAAGTTAGGGTAACTACCCCCTAAATGATGAGGCGGGGTGATTCAAAAAGTGCCTCATTTTGGTTCCCCCTCCAATCCCCCGATACGTATTTGAGATAGTATTTTTTGTCTAAGAGATATTCCCGATTGCTCGTTTTCAAATTGTCACCCTGTTTCCTATTTTATTATGTTTTGACTTCTACCATATTGTAAGTCAAGTATTTAGTGCAATTTGAACAGTATTTTCAAATGAATATTTTCCAATTTCACATTTTTTTAAGTGTTTCATATTCCAAGAGAAAAATATTTGAATGCATTAATATACAATGAATAGGAAAATCAATTCATTTGAGGATCTCATCCTCTGATTTGGCCAATAAACTGGTGGGAGAAAAATTACTCTGGCGCCACACAAAGAAAATAAAAAGAAATTCCGCCAGAGTTCTTGAAAAAAAAAAGCCAGTGTTCATAGTTGTTTATAATGAAATTAAAATTATAGTTTTGCTTTTGACAAGAAAAGGTGAGATTTTATGGAATGTAGGATGGAATCAATTCTTATATATTTAACTTTAGCTAAATACCGAGCTAAATACTTTACATTTGCTGACGAAACATGACAGAGTACTAATATACACAGCAAGAAAGGAACCGAAACTGTAAGCCTTGGTAAATGAAGACTTGAACAAATAACTCAAATGGTTATATTTTATATTATGATAATTTAAAAATAAATATTGATATTATTCCATATTATCCCAAGAAGGAAATTTTTCCAACAGCTCCCAATCGCATAACAAAGAAATGGTCAACAATGTCCAAATATCTACGTTTGAATCATTTTTTACATTCTAAGGAAAAAAATATTTCAAAAACCATCGTCAATCAATATGCTCCGGCAAAGCAAACGAAAAGGGTTGTGTGCGGCACAAAAGTGTTATGTGGAAGTAATGAAGCATATGAACAGAAAGATCCATTCATTCCCCTTGCAGTGGAAAATTATGGGTAGGCAATTAATTTTTTGACACATAGTGTTAAACATAATGCAAAACTTTCTTATCTCTTCAGGCAACGTTTTCCTATAAAATACATGTTTTTGAGCTAAAAAACAAAGATCAATAGAGAACACGGGAGAGCCAACTATGCCCTGAAAAAAAATCGTGAACCCAGGAGCTTAAGAAGATAAGACTCTTGGGCTTGGATTGAAAGATTCATTCAAATCAAATCAAATCAAACTTAGTGCTAAGAATATAAACTATACAAGCATACTATATAAAAAAAAAATAATATGTTACAAACAAGTTCAAACCACAAGACAAACATAAAAACGTAAATGTGAAAATCTAAAAATGGTCAAGGAAGTATTCCTCCATGCTATAATATGCCTTTTTAAGCAACAACATTTTTACCTGTTGTCTAAATAATCTGTATGACACTTTCTTCCGAAGTGACATTGGTAAGTGATTAAAAATCTTTTTGCTTTTATAGAAAATTGAATTTTGAGTCAGTGTCGATTTAGGAATTGGCAAATTTGTATTAAAAGATGAGCGGGTATTATTTGTGTTTAAGGAGTAAATGATGGAGGAATGCTTCTTATGCATCAGACAGGCAGTTTCCAGTATATTAATTGCTGGAAGAGTCAAAATTCGTTCACTAATAAAATATGGTTTACACGACGTCCTAAAACTAAGCCCGCACAGGCACCTTAGGGCACGCTTCTGTAAAACAAACAAAGAATTCAAAAGATAAGCGGATGAATTACCCCAATAGCATACACCATATCTTAGATGTGACTCAATTAAAGCAAAATACGCATCTCTAGCCACTGCAACATTCAGGTCACTCCTAATTGTTTTTATTGCAAAGCAGCCTGATGCTAGTTTCGAGCACAGCTACTCAATGTGTTTGTCAAACCCTAACCTATCGTCGATAACTAAGCCTAAAAATTTATTATAATTTGTCCTCGTGACTGGCTGAGAGTCTAAGCAAATATCATTTAACATACACTTAAAATTTAAAATATTTGTCTTTGATACATTAAAAGACAAACAGTTGCCGTCACACCATCTTTTCACACTTGCCAGATCCTGGATTATCATTTCACTAAGATTATGTGGATCCTTGCTATGCCAAAGCAGAGTAGTGTCATCGGCAAAGGATGTACAATGGCCGTTTCTGATTATTAATGGTAAGTCGTTAACATAGATGAGAAATAAGAGCGGACCAAGAACAGAGCCCTGAGGCACACCCGCTGACACCCAATTCCCCTGACACACAATCAGCAAAACGAACCATCTAACACCTATTGGACAAATAAGACCTTAGCCAACTCAATACACGTCCCCTAAAGCCATAGAATTCAAGTTTCTGCAGCAGTATTTCATGCGACACACAGTCGAAGGCTTTTGCTAGATCGCAGAACACTACCGACTACCGCAGCCACTTCCCCATCATTTAGTCCCAGGTTGAGTTTCTCCAGAATGTGGAAGATTGCATCGTTTGTGTTCTTGGAAGACTGAAAACCAAATTGGGACTTATTTGAAATATTTTTTGCTTCCAAAAAGTGAACTATTCTTTTTTTAATCACTTTTTCCGCAATTTTTGATAATGAAGGCAGCAGGAATATTGGTCTGTAATTGGAGGCAACATCCTCCCCTTGTTTAAAGATTGGAATCACAATAGCTCGCTTCAAGTACCTATTCAAGGGATTAAAATATAAATTTGGAAACGAAATAAAGGAAAAGAACAATATATTATCGTGTTCTATTTTTCAGCTTTCAGAAGATAAAGTTTCTATTGAAATATTTTTATTATTATGTCATACCACTACATTATTGTGTTTTTATACCTTAGATACCATCTACATAATTCATTACTTTATAAGCAATATAAGCAATGATGTAATAGTTATTTACATTACAAGTGCGTTTATGAGCATGATTACAATAACGAGTGTGAAGGATTAGAACGACTCGGTCTACGACCTCGTCGTTCTAATCACACAAGTTTTGTAGTCATGTTTAAACGCACGTGTGATGTACAACGTTTTATCTACAAAGCGAAAAATAAGAATATTTTTCCAATTATTTTCGTTCATTAATAGTTGTCTACCTTCATTTTACCTTTACAGGCTTACCTTTGACATTTGTCAAATCACCAAAAATAGTTGTGTTATAGACTCATAACCTCGTCCATAACACCACTAGTTGTGTTATGAATTCATAACCTAGTCTATAACACCACTAGTTGTGTTATGAGTCTCATGACGTAACTCAAATACTAGAAAAATGGTTATGTAAAAACGTCATAACCAAACGCTTGTAGATAAATACCATAATAAATATTTTTTATGAGATTTTGGCAACTGTTAGTGCATATTTTGTCCCAGTAAAAAAATTTAAAACTTCTACATTTCCCAAATGGTTTTCTTCTGATCTTAGAAAATTGACTTGCCAGAAAAGACGTGCACACTCTTTTTACATTAGTAACCGCTCAGATGATAATTATGCAAAGTTTTCAGATTTGCGTGTCAAGTGTAAGAGGCTCTCTAATATTTGTTTTTCTAATTACATGCGGGGTTTTGATGAGAGACTGAAAGTTGATCCAAGATTATTTTGGAAATTTATCAATGATAAGCGTTCCACTTATTGTCTTCCAAGCTCACTCGTTTATGGGGGGGAGAGGGCTTCAAATAGGCAGGATGTAGCCAATTTATTTGGGAAATTTTTTCAGACTGTATATGTAGCTAACCAGAACTCTCCAGTACTACCTGATTTAACATTGGATAATAACGTAAGTAACAATATTAAGTGCTCAGAAATAAGTAAGTCTGATATTTTCGATCAGATATGCAGTCTTCCCAATAAACTTACATCAGGGCCGGACAGAGTGCCTGATTTCCTCTTGAAAGAGTGTGTTTGCACTATAGTTTTACCATTGTATATCCTTTTTAATAGATCCTTGCTTAGTGCTGTGTTCCCGAATGAATGGAAAAAGAGCTATGTTGTTCCTATTTTTAAAAGTGGTCAAATAGAAAATATTGAAAATTATCGTAGTGTTTGTATTCCATCCGCAATACCAAAGCTCTTTGACTGTCTTGTTGGCAAGCAACTGAGCTGGATGAGTAAAGGTTTAATTTCTGTGGAGCAGCATGGCTTTTGTCAAAATAAATCCACATTGACAAACTTGGTGGGTTACCAGACAAGCATTTTGCATCATATGGAGGGGCAGAAACAAGTAGACTCTATATATACAGACTTTGCTAAGGCCTTCAATAGGGTGGATCACCACTGTTCTCCTCTTCTCTTTAATATTTCTGTTAATGATATAACTGATTGTTTTATAAACAGTGAGTGTGCAAAATTTGCAGATTATTTGAAATTTTGGAGAACGGTCGAGAGCATTGTGGACCAGTTGCTTCTGCAGGAGGGTCTGGATCGCTTGTTCGTGTGGTGTGTAGAAAATAAGTTATCTCTGAATGTGGATAAATGTTGCTATATTAGTTTTTCAAGGAAAGTAAATAAAATTCAAACTAGTTACTTTATTAACAATCAGTCTCTGAAGTGTGTGTCTAAAGTGAAAGATTTGGGTGTTATTTTAGACGAGAGATTATCTTTTATTGATCACATAAATTCGGTTGCAGTAAGGGCTTCGAAGATGTTCGGTTTCGTCGTGAGAAACTGTCAATGCTTCTCTGTGGGGGCTACCAGGGTTGTCTACTGCTCCTTGGTAAGATCAACATTGGAATATTGCTCTGTGGTGTGGTCACCATATTTTCAGATTCATATGGATTCTTTGGAGAGGGTGCAACATAAATTTCTTAGAGTGTGTGCGTTTAAAAATGGCTTTGCTATGGCTGACCACGACTATAGAGCAATAGAACAATTGTCATTGAGTCCTCTGGGCCTTCGTAGAGATAGTTTTGGTGTAGCATTTATATACAAATTAGTACATGGGTTAATTGACTGTCCAAGTCTCCTTTCTTCAGTTAGTTTTAATGTACCCACTAGGGGACTGCGGCAACACCCAACATTTCTCATACCTTTTCACCGAACAACATATCGTCGTTCTAAGATGCAAATTGCCTAACTCACAAAATGACAGTTTTGCAGGAGAGTTAAAAAACTTTATCAATTTCAATTTTAATTAAAATAAAATTAAATTTAAATATTTTTCACATTGCTTGTTGTTTAGATGAATTTGTTATTTTCATTATATTCAATTTTATTATAATTTTATTTTTTTTACTACAATTGAATGGACTTAGGCAATTCGCTTATTTATTTTTTGACTATTTTAGGACTTATGCCATTTTCGTTTATCAGGAAACCAATAAAACACTTTTAAAACAATAAATTTGTACTATAGTTTATTTAATTATTAAAAACCAAAAACCAGGTTTCTGAACAGAAAAACTCAAACAATAATATTTATATTTTATAAGTGGGACAAACTATCATAGAACGCATGGTAGTCTTTCTTTAAAGACAGTTTTAAATCCATTAAATGTTGAAATTTCTCCTTTTTAATTGGTATTGGTGCATCGTAAAGTTGGGGGAGGGCATCATACGATAGAACAGTTTTATTTTTATTCAGGCGACATGGTAAAGGTTTCCATTCTTCTGGGTGACGAATTTTAAACATGATGGACCCATCTGGGCTATATCTTAGGCCTCTGATATCGGTGACAACCGCATCCCCTGTGGTCCTTCCGGGTCTTATGGAATTAAGAACTTGCATACTCTCAAAATTTTTAAAAAATGTGTAGTCCAAGTAGTTGACAATATAAGGTCTTGGGTTGAGACGTGCTGATTGGCATACTTCTACGTAATCAGCTGGGACGTTTATAATTTTCTTTTTAAGCTTCCTTTCAATACTTGAATGCATTGAATCGCATTCCATCTGCGTGTGTCCCTTTTCAAGATACTTCTGCTCAATTTGTATTTTACTCTCTTGGGATAAGTTTAAAAGGGCACTGGAGAGCAATGCATTCCTGTTCTGACAGCTACAGCCATCACTATAAAAAATAATCTTGCTTACGGCTTCATTTTCCTGCATTACATGGTTTCTGACGAAGCTATATAATATTGATGTGAAAATGTTGGCTGTCAGTCCCCCTTGTCCTTCGTGCCAAATGTAGCAATAACCATCTTTGGTTTTAAGATTAAAAACTGTGAAATTGTGGACAATCAGTTTTGTCTTGTAGTATAGGGAGGAGACATTGGACTTCGGAGATAATAATACCGACTGCAAATCCATCGTGTATACATTACAATTTTCTGCTTCTTTGTCTTTCTGTTTTTCATTTCGTGCTTCTTCTTTTTTAACTTGATGTTCTTCAAATATTTCTAAGCTGATATTTCCTGTTTTATGAGCTACACACTTGTCGCATTCGTCTTTCTTCGGTGAAAATAACGCGATGTTCTGATCGTCAATCATGTTTGAAAAAGATGCAACAGATAATGGTAATAAGTTGTTCTCCGTACACCAATCGTTTTTATAAAGCCGGTAAAGTTCTAATTTGGAGGTCCAAACTGGCTCTAAATAAAGCTTACTAGTGGACTTTCTACAGTAGTGTGACTCCAGCTTGGGTAAGCTATTCAAAAATAATATCAAGTCCTCTTTCTGTTTATTTATTTTCCTCTGCCTAGGATTAATTTCTTTTTGTACTGCAATATCCTGGGTACTATCAATGTTCTTTTCAAGAAGCCAATAGCTAACTGTTCTTTTTGGTATGTTGAGAGTATTGCAGAACATTGTTTTGCATACTTTTAATCTGATACTTTGTTTGTTAAGAAAGTATGAGTATGAATACGCTCGTCTTGATTGGTCTTCTTGTTTTCGATTTCTAGATCTTTGAGTTGGGCATTTGTTAATCAGTGTAGTGACATAAATTTGCTTCTCAGACCACGTCAGCTTCCAGAAATGATCAAAAAGTTTAGCTCTGTCATCGTTTGTTAGTTCCTTGCACTTTAGGGTAGTTTTTTTGTCACATTTACACTTATCTCCCACACTCTTCGGTTTTTTAACTATTTTATAGTCCCAGTTTCCTTCATTTTTCCGTTTTCCCAAATACTGTTGTCCTGATTGCCTTTTAAGTTTTTCAGAGTTCTTTTTCCATTCATTTTGATTTACGTGACGTCTCTTTCTTCTGCTTTTGCTTTCATTTATTCCTTCATTTTCTTGAATTTCACCTTCATCAGCTCTAGGCACAAGGGCTTCATTTTCTTCACTATCTCCTTCAGAGTCGGAAGAATTTGGTTCTTCTTCATGTGGAATAACATAGGTCGGATCAGCTGGGTCATCAACATTCACTGTTTGCTCCTCAAAATCTTCACTACTTTCTAAATTTAATAGCTCTGGCAAAGTATTAATTTCATTATATTGGCTTTTTGGATTACAAGTTTCATCTCCAAAGTTAGGAAGTTGTTTAGGCAAATCGATTGATGGATTTTCTGAACTTCTTAGCAAGTTTTCGACTGCCTCATCAGCCATTTGAAGCAATACGTCATCATCATTAAGTGCAGGTCCAAACTCCGTGAAAACGTCGTTTTCGTTAATTTCCCTTACAATGTTAACAGGTTCTGGCTCTAAAGTTTCTCCTGTCAAGCTTACCCCAGCAAGGGATAAAATTTTTGATGCTCTTGAATGTGGATTCATTCTGCAAAAAAATCGAAAAATCATTTTCTAGTCATGTGTACGCATGTAAAATTTATATTAGCAAGTTGCCTAACTCCATTGTAGTCCAAAGTGGAAATTTGCCTAACTCCACGCCGATATTAAAACTTCGTAAATCAGCAAAAATTCATCAAATCTTTAAGCTAATTATAATAATATACTATAACTATTAAGAATAAATACAGATTTCAATATTTCAAATGTTTTTACTTACCTTTTTAATTTAAATAAGCACTAAAATTGGAACCATGTTTTGTTTACATGCAACAGGTACGGTTTCATTACGAAATGTGGGACTTGGGCAAAATGCGTATTTATTTTTAGATACTCTGGACTTCGGCAAAATTCTTTAAATGGAATTATGGCGCGTAAATTTTAGATTAGGGATTTAGGCCGTTTTCAGATCATGGGTTTGTGCGTTTGTCACCAGATGGCACTAATATCTCTGTTTTGATCAAAAATGGACTTAAGCAATTTGCATCTTAGAACGACGATATGGTGAAAATAATCCTATTGACAGATATATGTCATTAATTAATAACTTAAATATTGATATATTTGATATGACCCTAGGTCAATTAAAAACGTACCTGAAGAATATGTGATATTTTTTGTATAACAGGGTCAATTCTGGTTTGTGTATTATTTGTTGTACCGAATTCTATTTTATATGTTTCCATATGTTAACTACTCATTATCAAGATCAAGATATTTTTCATAATACCTGCTTACTTTTACTAATACCTACTTACTTAAAAGATGATTTTTGGCTGTACTTAATATGTTTTATATTATTGTGTAGTATTAATTTTTGTAGTTAAATAATATTTATTATTTATGTAGTTATAGTTATAATATAGTACCTAACTTATGCTTTATTTTTTATATTTTTTCTTAAATTGTATTTTAACAGTTCATGGGGTTTTCCCGTAAATAAATAAATAAATAAATACTTTATGCCCGTGCGAGCATAAAGTACACATTATGTCCCGCGCGGGCATAGGGACGAGGAATTTTTACGAACTGAGCCGCGTCAGCGGCGAGGGAGTAACATTCTGAGGGAATAATAGCCATTATTGCGAGTAGTATACTCTACTTTATTTATGACAAATTAATTTATTTGAAATTTTCTTTTTAGAACGCTCGTTGTTCATCCATCTCAATACAAATACACTAGGCGTGTGATACTGACACTTTTGAGTTTGTTCATATTGTTTCCATGGTCTTATACTTGTTTTAATTTGAGAAACTTTGTGATTGGTGTGCAAGCGGGAATAATGATCATTAATCCCTGCGGGAATAATATATGGCATTATATTGCCAAAATCACATGTATAATGTTTACATTATATATTAGTCGTAAATAAATAACTATTTTGTCCAATAGCAGGTGGTAGAAACCGATGAAGCTATTGCCAAATTGTCGAAGTACACGTATTTGACGCATTGCACTATAAATGTGCAGACTTGGCGCCATCTGAGGTAAAATGCATGCCACTACTAAAACGAAAATTAACCCTACTGTGTAAAAGCTGCCAAGAAACAGCTGCTAAGTCAGCAAATATTTATAAATTATTGCTATCAATGAAAAATGAAATAAATAGCTTGAAGCAAGAAATCAAACATTTAAAAACCGACCAAAAACCATCAAGCACTCCTGATTACAATATTCAAGCAACATACGCTACTGTAGCCAGCATGCCAACAAACTCCTTAAAACAGAAAAATATTCAGACTAAAAATATTCCCAATATATTAATTAAACCAAAAAATACACAAGAGGCTACTACCACTAAAACCGAATTGATGGATGCTATCAAACCATCACAATTAAACATAGCAATTAAAAAAATACAGAGCACTACAAAGGGAAGCATTGAAATAAAGTGCAATAGCATTCAAGATGTGCAAAAACCTAAAAAAGCGGCAGTGGAAAAATTAGGAGTTTCTTATCAGATTGAAGAAACTAAATTAAAGAATCCTCAAATAAAGATCACCGGATTTGATAAAAACATGACCAATATTGAATTAGAGCAAACAATAAAAAATCAAAATAATCTTATTGCAGAAAATGAATTATTTGAAGTTGTGCACATAAAAACTAACACAAAAAGTAACAAAAAATCCATTTTTGCTGACTGTTCACCCATAAATTTTCAGAAATTAATTAGTCGGAAAAGTCTTTATAGATTGGGAAAGATACACTCTATATGAAAGTGTGAAACCTCCTCAATGCTACCAATGCTGGGGGTTTTATCATAAAAATACCAGCTGCACCAACAAAGTTGTATGCTCATATTGCGCTAAGGAACACCCGAGACGTGAATGTCCTTATGTAAAAACAGGACAAAATCTAAAGTGTCAAAACTGCAAAGGAGCAAATGATAAATATAAGACAACCTATTCCACAGACCACGAAGCAAGTTGCCTCGATTGCCCAACTTACCAGTATCATACAAAAATGATTAGGAGCAGAATAAATTATGGTCAGGCTTATGGCTATAATGACTAATAACTTGGTAAACCTGATAAATATACTTGAAGATGAAAATTTGGGCGAAACAATTAATCCAGACCAGATTCGGCATAAGCATGATCCCAACAACAGTTTAAATATACTCCATCTGAATATTAGTAGTGTTAGAAAAAAATTTGACAGTTTGGTGGCCTTCCTACAAACCTATAATTTAGATTTTTTTGATGTTATAGCATTGACAGAGTGCTTTAAACTGGACTCCTACAACGAATTTTCTTTAAAAGGATATAACAGCTATTACAACCAAGGTAGTATTAATAAAAATGATGGCGTTTTGACTTTTGTAAGGAGCAGTTTAAACCATGAAGTTAAAAGCCACACTCTCCAATCGACAAAAATGATAGTAGGTAGAATAATTTTAGATGTAAGCAGTGTAAAGTATGGTTTAACAATAGTTTACAGGTCACCCTCTACAAACAAAAATAACTTTATAAATGACTTTGAATATTACTTTAAAAATGACATTACGGAGAAAAATATTGAAGTAGTGGTTGGTGATATTAACTTTAATTTATTAGATAACCAAGATCCTCTTACTGTCACCTATTATTCAATGTTAACCTCTAATGGCTTTAAATCATATGTAAATAATATTACTAGAGAAAAAACAAAAAGTTGTTTGGATCACATACTTATTTGTCAAAATGAATCTTAAATTAAATAACATAAAAACACTTTCGTATATCATAAAGACTGACATTACAGATCACTATCCAGTTTCATTAAATGTTGTAACCAAAAAAGATAATTATAATAGCGAGAGCAATACTGTGATAATCTCAGAGATTAACTGGAGACAGCTGAATGAGTTCTTTAAAAACGAAAGGTGGGCAGAGGTATTAGATACTAACGATACAGAACTTAACTTTAGTAAATTTATTACCATTGTTCAAAATTATGTGACGCAAAGCAAAACTGTAAAAACTATTAACACAAAACACAAAAAGTTAAAGCCATGGATTTCACAAGGATTAATTAAGGCTATCAAAAAGAGAGATAGGATTAAAAGGCAACTTCAAACACACTTTACAACAGAAAAGAGATAGAATACAAAAATTATCGAAACCACCTTAAAAAGCTCTTAAATACATTAAAAAACGAATATTATAAGCAAAAAATAGAAAGTAGCAAACAAGATAGTAAAAAAACATATAAAATTATTACAGAAATAACAAACAATAACAAAAAAACAAAAAGTCTCTTAAAAATTACAAATACTAATAACAAAAATTTTGAAACTGATCTTGAAATGGCAAATCACTGTAATGAATATTTTTCAAACATAGGTCTTTAGATGCTTGGTAAAATACCTCAAGTTAACCTAGAAAATAATGTCGAATCAGTGAACAAATCAATATTCCTAACTCCAGTAACTGACAAAGAACTTATTCAGCACATCAACAGTTTAAAAACAGACAGTAGTCCAGGTCTCGATATGATTACTGTAGAACTTATCAAAAATATGCATCAGTATCTACTGGCACCCCTTAAGCATATTTATAATCTCATTTTTGAAACAGGGACTGTACCTGGCCATTTCAAGAAATCAATAATTATACCAATCTATAAATCAGGTGCTAAAAATCAAATATCAAACTACAGACCAATAAGCTTAATTGGTAACTTTGCTAAACTTTTTGAAAAGTGTCTAAAAAACCGCCTCACAAACTTTTTTACAAAAAACGGTTTGTTATCAAAAGACCAATATGGATTTACAGAGGGTGTCAGTACCACTGATGCAATAGACACCTTACTCAAAGAAGTGACTAATAACATAAATCAAGACAAAAAGTGTATTGCTGTATTTCTGGACCTGGCGAAGGCCTTCGGCACAGTCTCTCACAAAATACTATTGAGGATTTTAGAATCCAATGGAGTGAGAGGGACTGCGTTGAGGCTTTGTACAGACTACTTAACTGATCGGGAACAACAAACAAAAATTGGAAACGTCTTTAGCGGGCCTCAGAGGATTAATATAGGTGTCCCCCAGGGCACTGTCCTTGGCCCAATATTTTTTAATATTTACATAAAAGCTCTGGTAGATCAGGGAATAATAGCAAAAATAATTTCGTATGCAGATGACACTGTAATGGTCTTCTGTGGCAGCACTTGGGAAGAGGTTAGATCTAAGGTAGTAGATGGTTTGAAACGAGTAAAAACTTGGCTAGATACCCATAAACTTTCATTAAATTTGCAAAAAACCAATTACATAGCTTTTTCGAAAATCGACAGAAATCGTCCAGATTTTACCTCTATAGAGATCGATACATTTAGCGAAAAAATTAATGAAGTACCACATGCAAAATATCTGGGTATTTTTGTGGATTCTAATCTAAAATGGACAAAACATGTTGAATATACAGTAGACTCGCGCTAGTGTGAACACAAAAAAACCAGATGTGTTCATATTATCGAGATGTTCACACCATCGAAGGTCTACCTAGAAATGCAAAATTCAGTCAGCAATGGTCTCCAAACTTGAAATTCCAGAAAAATTAATACAATAGGTACTTGCAAACATATCCATTAAGTGAATTTTCCCAGTTTATTGATTAAAGTTAGATGTAATTTTTGTGTGAATGGTTCTAGCTGACCACTATGGCTGCCTACTTTGTCTTGAAAGTTTCTTAGGCTTTCTGTGTCATTAACTCCAAGATATGCTCTTGGCTTGCTGGCAATCTGCTATGATTTTTGATTTCTCATAAAGTCCGTTCTCACAAAAATCCAGTTTATTCTCAACTAAGTTACTGAAGGATCTTGGAACGACTGCAAACTGTCAAAGAATCTTGTAAAAACAGACCCATGGAGAGTTCAAAAAATTGTGTTTTTCGCCATTTTCACAAAACTGATTAACCACAGCAAACAACCAACTAAAAACTATAGACTTTTAAACGTGCTTTTGACGCGTTGCCACTTGTTTATTACATGTGTATTCCACATAAGAGTGAATGCAGTAACTTAATACCTATATCTGTGCATTCCTTGTCTCAAAACATTTCGGGAACCCCAGAATTGGACGGAAATAACTGATGAAAACAAAAAGTAAGCAGAAAATGGTTGAATTTGTGGTCAAAAACATTGTTCATACTACCGAGATTCTCAAAAGTTCACACTACAGAATATATAATGTATTCATTCTGGTTGTTCATACTACTGGGAGGTTCACAGAACCGTGTGTTCACACTAGCGCGAGTCTACTGTATTACCAAAAAATTGAAAACTTTAATACATAGGTTCTATATTTTAAGAAATATTGTATCGAAGGCTTTAATAACCACATTATATCAGAGTTTAGTAGAATCCCTGCTGAGATATGGTATATTGGCTTGGGGTGCTATGTACAAAACTACTCTAAAACCATTACAAATAATTCAAAATAAAATTTTAAAAATCATCTATAAGAAAGATTACCTTTATCCAACACATCTGCTTTATAATTGCAAAATTAATAATCTAAGAATACTATTCTTTCATTCAGTAGTCTGTTTTATGCATAAGAATCAGGATAAAAATATTATATCTCATGCTTATTCAACTAGAAATAATACAAAGAATATGCTAATTATACCGAATTGTCATAGCGAATTCTACAAAAGATCAGTTAACTATCTTGGACCAAAAGCGTGTAATTTGATTCCTGACGCAATAAAAAGTAATATAAGAGCTAAAACGTTTTCAAAGCAAGCAAAAAAAATCTTTGGGAAAATAGAATAACATTTCTGAAACTGCTGTCATAAGACCTGGCTATAATTTTGTGCTTTTCATTAAGTAGGTACTAGATTATTTATTAGATAAGTAAGTAATTTTTAGGTTGTAGTGATTTTTCTTTTCTTTTTTTTTCCGTAAGCGCGATAGTAAACGTGTAAAAAAACTTATCTCTAAATACAATTACAAAAATTTTAAATATCAAAATAAGCACATACAGGTGTTAAGTCATCTAGGTGCTTTAGTTAGTTATACAGTAAGGGGCAGGCTACTAGGTATATAGAATCCAACTTGACGAATTTACGATCGTCCGCAGCCGTTTGAACACCTGTCGCTGTCACTTTGCTGTCGTTTTTTCGATGACTTTGACGTTCGTTGAGTTTGTTCACAAGCCAGGTTCATATCAGTACGTTTTATGATTTTACAGACTTAAGCCCGGTCCAGACGCTACGTTACTGATTACTGATCACTTGTTGAACTGTGCAAACAAAACGTTATGCAAAACGTAGCATCTGGACCGTGCTTTTAGATGTATCGATTCGTCGAGCTTCACTTAGTTATAATTAAAATTAAGCGTGTAGATAGATTTTTTTTCGAACCGAAACAATAATTTTTCATATTCTATGAAAAGAAAAGATGTATTTTAAAAAAGCCATCAAGGAAAAACTAAAAATGTATTCAACATAAAAAATGGAAGAAAAATTAGGTAAAATAAAAACAAAAGTTCTAAACAGATGATATTATGTAGCAAATGTTCAAACAGTCCACCTTCTTGAGATAAACAATAACCTAAACAATCATAGAAGGCTCTACGAACATTATTCAGCATCACATGGGTGACAGTTAGATATATTTCTCGAATTTTGAAACGCTGCTGCTCAAGGTTCACGGCGCGATCCTCCTGAACACCATACATTTTTGATTTGCAATAACCCCAGAAAAAATAATCGTTGATGGGTGCAAGATCGGGAGAGCGGGCTCGCCACAGTATTGTAGCTCTCTACCCAGTAATGAGACGGCTTGGAAAAGTATTATTCAAATGGTCCAGAATGAAACCCGTATTTTGGGCTGGACATCCATCTTGTTGAAACCATATTTCATAAATTCTAGGACCAGATAATCTTCTTATTTCTGGAATTACCTGCTGTTGCGAAAAATCCAAATATACCAGTTAAGTTATCGTCAATGGAGTACGGCCCAATAATAAGTTCTCCATACAAACCGCTCTAGACAGTGACCTTTTGAGGACGCTGGGCTCTAAGTTCAAAATACCTGTGTAAATTCTCCGTAGACCTTAGACCAATAACGGGTGTGACTAGGATTATGTCGACAATGGAGTTGAAATGTCGTTTCATCTGTGAAGACAATTCTTCTAAGAAAATCTTCAATTTCATTTTTTTTTATTTCATCATCAATCAGTTTCACAAAACTCCATTCGCCTGATGTTGTCCTTGCATCAGGATCAATTTTTTGGGAGTTTCGTACTTTGTACGAACGATCCTTTTTTTTTTCTGTGGCTTCCTCACCGTCCTTGTACTTGAGTAAATCTCTTGCGCAAGCGCACGAGTAGAAATAGTTGGAGTTTCGTTAACTAATGCCAACAACCAACGACATAATTTATTCGGCTTCTTGATCCTCATTATTTTACTGGACGTCATTTCGTTTATGGTTTCGAAGAGAAACACGACCATATTTTTTTAAATAATCAACAACCCAAGAAACTTTTTACCTGGTTGTCACTAGGTTAGCGCTAAATTGATTTGTCATTTTCTGACATGCGGACGCCTGCAAATTCGTCAGGTTACTTCCTATATACCTAGTAGCTTGCCCCTCACTGTATATAATATTAGTATTATAACATAAATTTAATGTACCAATATTTGTAACTATTTTGAAATAAATAAACTTGAAACTTGAAAAGAGAAGACTAATAAGGTGGCAAGTAGGGTGGTTTCAGAAAGGTAGAGTCGAATATATACTAAATATATAATAATACGTAATAACAACAGTTCTGAGCTAACTTACGACTCATTCGATACAGATATCTAAGCTAACATATTTGGAATCCACTTACATCAAATTCCACGTCGAATTCATATTTGAGCTGATCGTGAAAGAACCAGCATTTTCCAAACCATTTGGTGCCTTCTTTATTCGACTCTAACCGGAACCAATCATTGTCGGCCGCCTTATTGTTTTGTACATACTAAAAATTAAATAAAACTTGATTATTGTTTATGTGCCAACATATGGGTGACTACAATCACTAAAATAAATAAATAACAAGATTGACAATACCTTAATCAAAGACTGATATTCTTCTTTGAGACGTTCAACCCATAATTCTTTTTCTCTGGGGCCCGCTTTAGTTTTTAAAAGGGGGATACTGCTTAAAGTTTTACGTGTACTCTCGTCAACCATTTTTCAACAAAGTTACCTTGAAATTTGAAATCCTGAAACCAACCTAACCTTAGTTTTTTTAGACAACCACAAATGTCAAAGTCGGTAGTCTGAGCTACGTTCGAAAACGGTTGTTGGTGTGGAATTATTAAGGAGTGGGTGTCTGTCTGATACAGGTACACTCACTCCGGTATGTTGATCTAATCTAGGCTGGGCTGCTCTAGGCTTCGAAATTCGAATGGTTACAAAGAGGTTTGCATCAGGACGTTCGTCAATTCTCGAGTCGGCAAGGCCTGCGAGTGACGTCAACACTATTAGCAGCATATAGGTGGTAGACGCTTTTTACTCATTGGGCGTCGACCGGTGAGATACCACCATGCCAGAATTGAGTAGCGCTAAGTGGTATCACCACGTTCCGCTACTGCGCTGGCAGTCCGGTTCCAACAATGAGTAACAGATAGCATGATGGCGCCTCCAGGATCAAAATATTCCGGAGGTAAAATACCCGACCACTCGGATCTCCAGGCGTCGGGTGATCCTGGGGGTCCTTCATGCAAAGATATGAAGGGAAGATCAAAAACTCAACTCAGAATTGATTTTAGCAATATAAGAGGAATAAGTACAAATATGAATTCAGTTCACCAACATCTTGAAGAACAAAGACCTGACATCCTTGTTCTCACTGAAACTAAAATCAGTTCAGCAACACCTATTGTGAACTATCTTTATCCCGGCTATGACCTACACCACCGATTTCGACATAATTTTGGGATCTGTGTGTACATTAAAAATGACCTTTCATGTCATCGAGAGGAGAAGCTAGAACCAGCGAACCTTGATATCATATGGCTAAAATTCACCTCAAAGTCATCGACCAAGTTTATCTGCTGCCTCTACCGACCGCCATCTAACACCGAGTACCAAAACTTTTTCGCGACATTATCCGAAAGCTGTGATAGTATACAGTCAAACTATCCACAGGCGGAAATTGTCTTTTTAGGCGATTTCAACGTCCACAATATACCCTGGCTGAAACACCACAACAAAACAGATAACGAAGGCAGAGAAGCAGAAGCTTTTGCCATAAGTTGTGGTCTAACGCAGCTTGTCGATGAACCTACCCGTATCTCAGAAAGGGGCGAATTTGCAGCGCTTTTAGACGTGTTCCTAACCACAAATCCTGACTCGTACACAATTCAAGTAGATGCTCCACTTGGTTCGTCCGATCATAAACTTATAATAACAAAGTGCGAAATGCTCATCCCACCAAGCCAACAACCACTTCCTCGTAAAATGTGGCACTATAAATCGGCAAAATGGAATGACCTAAAACAGTTTTACCTGGATTTTCCATGGCAAGAGGTTTGCTTTAAAACAGCTGATCCCACTATTTGCTGTAATGAAATAACACAAGTAATCTTATCTGGAATGGATGCATATATCCCACATACAACTAAACGTAGAGCTAATGCAAAACCTTGGTTCAACAGCCAGTGTCAAACGGCTGTACAGAAAAAACACAGAGCATATAACCTTTGGAAACGACAACAAACCGCTCAAAACCACACAGAATTTATAGAAGCCAGAAATAGTTGCAAAATTACTATTGACTCCGCTAAAGAAACATACAATCAAGGAATAAAAAACAGGTTGCTGAATTGTCCAAGTAGTTCTAGGTCCTTTTGGTCTCTTGCAAAAGCTGTTCGATCTAACTTCACCAAGTCATCCATACCACCACTTACAGATAAAAATAATCACTTAGCCACAACATCAGAGGAAAAAGCCAATATGCCGGCCCAAATGTTTTCCTCCAACTCCAACCTAACAGTGCCAAACGGAAAAACTCCACCGTTCATTGAAAGGGTTTCCCATAGTATGCCAGAGCTAGGTACCCTTTTGTCACAGAGAAATACGAAAATCCCTTAAAAAGCTAGATACAAACAAAGCAATGGGTCCGGATGGCATTCCCGCAATAGTACTCAAAAATTGCGCCAACGAACTCACCCCAACTTTCGCAAAATTATTCAATTTGTCTTACAGGCAAGGAGTATATCCATCATCATGGAAGTCTGCCGCAGTACAACCCATTCCAAAGAAAGGAAAAAAGACAGATCCGTTAAACTATAGATCAATTGCTCTACTTCCGGTGATATCAAAAGTAATGGAAAGAGTTGTGAACAATCACCTAACCAAGTACTTGGAAAAGTACAAAATTATCAACGATAAGCAATACGGATTTCGAAAATATAGGTCAACTGGCGATTTACTTACATACGTCACTCACTTATGGCAAAAAGCGATTGAGTTGCGGGGTGAAACAAGAACAATTGCCTTAGATATATTTAAAGCATTCGACAAAGTTTGGCATGAAAATCTGCTCAACAAGCTCAAAGCAATATGGGATTATCGCCGAAACTTTGCACTTGGTTTGAAAGTTACTTAAAGGACAGATCCATTATGTTGCACTGGATGGCCAGAACTCCAACTCTTACCAAATTAATGCTGGTGTGCCACAGGGAGCAATCCTTTCGCCAACTCTTTTTCTGATTTACATAAATGACCTCATAGATAAAACAGTAAATCCACTTTATTGCTTTGCAGACGATGGCAATGTAGTCTCCTCACTCATACCACCCACAGGTCTTTCCGCACGTGAATTCCATCATCTTAGACTAACTCAAATATCGCAGATAAATAACGACCTGGAGATAATAGAGGACTGGGGTAACAAAAACCTTGTACAGTTCAACGCGCAGAAAACCCAAGCAGCTCTGTTTTCAAAAAAGACCAGCACCGGTGAGCCAAACATCATGCTATCTGGAAGTGCTGTCACATTACAGAGTCAGTTGAACATCTTGGGGATTACTGCAGAGACCAACATGTCTTGGCACAGTCACGTGGCAGATATTGCTAAAAGGGCGTCCCAAAAGCTTGGGGTGCTATTTCGTACAAGACATCTGTACACACCAAGCGAATTGCTGACACTCTACAAAGCCCAGATTCGACCAACTATGGAGTACTGCTCACATATATGGAGTGCAGCACCCAAACATACCTTAATGCTTTTGAACACCGTGCAAAAACGAGCTATCAAGCTGATCAATGACCCCGCACTTACTCGTAACTTGGATGGTCTCGAACATCGCAGATCTGTGGGCGATTTATCTCTCTTCTACAGGTACTATCACGGAAAATGCTCTGAAGTGTTGGCACGTATGATTCCACCGAGAGTAGCGCATACCAGGCGAACCCGTCAAACAGACGGTAACCATGAATTTACTGTCAAACTAGAGGCACCAAGAACCTCATTATATCAAAATTCATATCTCTGGAGAACAGCATCGCTGTGGAATAAACTCCCTGCGACGGTTTTCCCTGCAGGTTACAACCTGAACCGTTTCAAGACCAACATACACCGACATTTCCGCGCACTTGCCGCTTCTCGAGCGCGATAGGACATTTCCTTGCGAGTGCGCATATCCGTAAAAAAAAAGACACTACAGAAGCAATCGATGAATCAAACAAATTTCCGGCAGCATTAAGAGACTTCTACGTCGATGACATATTATCGGGAGCAGCAGATACAGAATCAGCTCTAGAACTACAAAACCAACTAATAAAAATGCTCAGCCTTACTGGATTTAACCTGAGAAAATGGTCTAGTAACTTACCGGCATTACTCCAATCAATTGACGTTTTCAATTAAAAGAGATGGACGATAAAGTATGAAAACACACGAAAACATTCAGATTCCCGCCAACATTTGCTTGCTCGTCAATGTCAAGTGTATAGGGTGTTTAGCAATCCCCTGGTTTTTATTCTAATCGGTGACTCCACCGATGAGTTAGGTATCTTTGTTCAGTGAATGGAGAATGACAATGACCGACATAGAATTGTGAAATTTGAAATTGGAAAGAAAATGTGGGAAGCAAACAGCTTCCGCAAACTCGCCTTGCGTTCGGTATTTTGCTCAAAGAGCAGAGCGTGCTGAGCGGAGCCGTAATCACGTGATCAGTGAGCGAACAGAGCAGTTGAACGCTGAATAAAAGTGCCAGAAATTTCAATAAACGAACGCGAATGAGGCTGCACCGAGTACACTTTTTAAATAAACGAACGGTAAAGTCAAGCTCGGAGAACTCGGACCAAAATAACGAACGCACGGTAAACTTGAACGTGGATATCTTTGTATACTTGATGGATCGTGGATTTCCCTTACTTTTGCGAGTATCAGTTCTGATTTTGTGTATCCAAATTTTGACAAATGTAGGATTTGATGAAAACTTATGGAAAGACACGTCCGCCGGTGAATAGGAATTATTTTCACAAAAAGGCACACTACACACAATCACCATTGTTAGGAAAAAACTTTGAAAAAACCGAGGAAATAATAGTTAGAAAGATTTTTTTTTCAGGTAATGACCAACGGTGAATACAGGAACACAACGGTCCCTGTTTGGGAATCGACCCACTGAGCAGTGGACCCAGACTTCCCGTGCCAATCCTTGACGCGTTTCGTCCTTGTTAGGACTCATCAGAAGGACATAGGCTGAAGCTCCCTGTCCAAGCAAAATTGAACTTCGTTGACCAGTCAGAAACAACTACTCCGAGGGCAAATACCCCTACCGGCGTTGAACTACACTGCCGGTAGGGGTATTTGCCCTCGGAGTAGTTGTTTCTGACTGGTCAACGAAGTTCGAGGAAATAATAGTTTCCAGTCTCACACGTATGAAACTCTTGTCAACAAACCATTGTCAATAGCTGTCAATCATTGTTTTCATACTTTTCATACTCTTTTGGCATCTGACAGTCTGACGCCAGAGAGAAAGAGGCTTCTAAATTGAAAAGGTCAATTCCAGAACAGTTCCGAGAACAGAAAATACAAGAAAAAAAAAATATGGCAGCATAGCAGCTTGACTGACGTCACCCGCAGGCCTTAATGGGATGCTTGCGATTCAGGTTGTGCTTGTTTTTTGTCGATTTTAAATGTAGAAAAGGTGATTTTAACCAAAGTATAACGTTAGGAATTCTTTTTTTTACCTCTATACTGTTTTAAACTAGGCCAATGGATTTTACTCCAAGAGTTGAGGTCTGCGGTCACTGTAGTCTGCGGCATATATTATACGGCCGAACATGGGACTAAAGAGTTCGGTGAGCGCACTAGATCGTGACAACCACCTTTCCGAACGCCAATAATCTAAAAAAAATATATCGTGCTTTGGGTTTTCTCCCCATTAATTCTTCGGGTTTCTGTACGGCAGAACAGCAGCTTGAATTTTGAACCGCAAAACTAGTTCTCAAACGCAGGTCGCAGCCCAAATTAGATTAATTTTTATATTTTTAACCGCGTTTTCGAACGCAGCCCTGTCGACATCCTTGGACACTTCTGACGTTTGACCTGCTGAGAAATTTTCATTCTGCACAGTTGGCATTAAACATATGGGAAATTAAAAAAAAATTGTTTCTTTTTGGTTGGCTTTTGCTTATCTATCGTAAATGAGTTATAATGAGAATGTTGAAAATTTTCGAAAAATATAATGGAAGATTCGTTTTTTAATTACAATACTTCGCTCAAGGGAGGTCTGAACCCGAGGGTAAGTACTTGATAGTTACTTTTAAACCCCAAATTCTATAGTTTTTGTAGTGGAAGGTTTCAAAATTGATCGTATTTTTTTCCTAATTAGCGGGATTTTCGGGGATTTATATAAAAATACGCATTCTTGTTGTTATTAGGTAGGTCAGCTGAGTTTATCAAACACTTTCGAACATGATTTTACACCTATCTGTGGAATTTCAAGATAGTCAACACACCTTACATATAGGTTGTGCATGTGTAGGTAAGTATTGTGAAACAAGTTGCATAGTGCCCCTTGTGCTTTATACAAATTGAAAACATCGGCATATGAGTAAACCTGTTTTCACTGTTTTGACAAATAAAGTAATATTCTTGTTTGACTTTTTGAAGGATTTCAATCGTGGAATTACATGCTATGGTATTACTCAACTCAGATAATCCAATGATTGGAAAATAGAGAGTTGAATAATCGAGAGTCTACTGTATTATTTAATAGATATTATATATGATTTTTGAAAGCCAAAAACTGATTTAACTTTGTAATTATTCTTCTCCTTCCTCAACAGATTTGAATATAATTCTCTTAGTATAGCCTATCATCTTCACCAGTCTGTTCAATTCTTGAATGTTTACCCAATTAGTGATTTTCAATAATTGTGTTTTTTTTTCAGAATGGTGAGCCCCTTTTACCTGAAGAAGATGATGATGACACCTATGAAAATGAAGAAGATTATGATGCATTGAATGATGAAACTTTTGGTGCACAATCAAATTTAGACGATTGGGAGCAGCAGCATGAAGAATTTGCTGAGTTCAATGAGAGCAGCAGACAAAATGAGAAGCTTGGTAAATAAATGTGTAATTTTTGCTCTTTCATTTTTGGAATAATTTGGTCTTTTTCAGAAAACTCAATATCCCAGTTAGTATTGGAAGAATCGTCAGATGAAGAGCCTCCACTGGAATTGTTAACCTTCCCAAAAAATTCATCAGTTTGGGCTTATACTCCTACAACAAAGAATGGAGTACTTCCTAATAATCCTGCTTCTGTTTTGTCATCTTTACAAAATGTATCCAAATCATTTGTATGTCAAAATATTTAAATTAATTGTTGAAACTAAATACATAATTTCCATTTGTTCTAGATTGAGTCCCAAACACCTCACACTGTACTTGCCTACTTAAATAGTCATGTCCCGCCAGGATTTCCAAGTCAGCCAGGAAAAATTTGTACTGTTGAGGAATTGGAGAAGAATTTGATAAAGAATTCACAGCAAAATGCTCAAATTCAACACAAACAAGGTTTGTCTTCAATTATTTTTTATGATTTTTATAAAGCAATGAATTTGATAGAGAAATTATTTTTTATTTTATTCATTCATTTGGAGGGAGTAGTAGACCCTGCAACCCTGCCACGTTCAAGTTAATTGCTAATTGTTAGAAAGAGAAACGAGCTTTGGAATGATCGTTTTTGGATAGATTTTTATTCATAAATATCGATTGATATGGTTGGCATACATTATACTATCATTTCAAATCATTTCAAAGCTTGTTTTTTTATAACAATTAACTTCTTCAGCGCATGTTCCACGGTCACCCGCTAATTTTGCTTGTACGTTGACAAGCATATGCATAATCATAATAAACCATACTATTAGATGTTTTCAGGCACTTAAGGCCGTATCAGACGTGCCGTTGCCGATTCTGTTAGCGGTTGCCGTTGCCGTCGCGGTTGCAATCACACTTGACACCGTTCCGTTACCGATTACTGGTCGCTTGAAATGTTTATGTCAAAATTTCGCAGCTAAAAGATTAAAAGTACAGCGTCGAACGTCGTCGGGAAGTTTCTTCTGCATTGTTGTGCTATATGATTACATTGGAAGGAGAGGAAAAAGAAAGATCCAAACCAAAATAGGTTTGGGTGCAAGACCGGAGAAGCCATAAATTGCGAAACAAAAAAGTTACGTTTAGACACATGTCACATGCTATTCATATGAGTGCTTTCATTGGCTACGGTTCAGAACGGCCTCATAAAATTTAGTCACCAACCTAAACATACAACGGCAATCGCAACCAGAAGCAGGTACATTTTGATTGGTCGAATTCCCAATCGTAATCGTTAATAGTAATCGGCAACAGTACGTCTGATACGGCCTTTAACCGGTGAATACCATAATTTGCTGTATTTACCAATTTGATTCAAGTGGTTTCGTCCAATATCGTCATTCATGGTCATGTCATATAAATGAGCTTGTAAATGAGCTCTTGGTTCTCATTGTGATGTTATTCTTTGAAATAGACTACCAGCGGTATTTACACAGCTTTCTACCTATTTTCAATCCCCACCATTTCTGTTGTAGACAATTGATATGTATTTTTGAAATAATAATGTTTATTTGGATGTATCTGAACTAAGTATGTATGAGAGTTTGTAGGCCGCGAGGAGACAAAAAAAAAAGTCAAGTGAACGTTAAAAGTCTGTGATCAAGAACAACCAAGGGCATGACTGCAGTATTCACTGGTCAAGCGCTTGAAATCCTCTACAATAAAGTAGTAAGAAGGTTTGGAAAGGCCCCTTACCTATCTTTTCAATAATAAACATAAATCTGAAAATCTGTAGTATTGAAAACATCTCTCCTACCCTAGGAAAGTCAGTTATCAGCAATGACGTTATCAGTTTTAATATTGAAATGATTGGGCGATTTCTCGGGCGATTTGTGTCACATGACAAAAAATAATAAAATTCAAATGGCAGAACTGTCAAAATATGTCATTGTAATTAGGCATTCCAACGACCTGTCAAAAAGTGCGTCGTGGCAGAAGTTCATTATCCCGCATATGAGAGTACATTATTTAAAGCTTTTTAAAGTGCATTTTGTGATTGTTTTGTGAATGAACTCTGTTTATTTTTTTATTTTATTGACTTCATTAGTGTTTCTTCCAATTGAAAATGCCACAAACAGGTCTTGTAGTTGATTATGGAAGTAGTTTTAACAAGGTAACAAGGATGATATCAGACTTTTTTCATTGCCTGTTGTTTCAAAATTTTCCAATTAAAACGTGAAAATTTTTCACTACCACTGTTCTTGCATCTGAAATAAAGCTATTTTCGAAATATTCGTAAGAATCTAAGCTTTTGTAGGCCTTCATTTGCTCATTAATGTGAACTGTGGATCAAAATGTCATCTGGACATTTTTTTAAACTAACCGTTCCGATTTTACTGCATTCAAGTCTTTAAATATTAACTCTGCATCTCAAAAAGTATATTATAACAAAGTAAACTGTGATTAGCTTGAAAATATTCCAAATAAACACAAGATAAACAAACAAACGCCAAATTTTCCACGGTCGCCATATTGAAAAATCACGTGGTTTGGAGAGCCTAAATTTTAATTTTTTTTAGCCCACTTACAAAATCAAGTCACACAGAACCAGAATAGTTTGCAGCAAGCTCAGGACCAACAGAGGCCTTTACTACCTTTGTCTCACCCTTCGCATCCCTATTTGCTACAAGTAAGACCCTAAATGCCAACTATTTATTCCAAACTAATTTTTCTATTTTCTATTTCAGCATCCAAATGCCAGGTTACCACCGCCAGGTTTGCCACCCCTAAGTAAGAATAGTCAATTATTATTTCAATTGCTCAAGAATAATTATTTTTAGATATTCCTCCACCTAATCTGCGCCATTTACCACCACCAGGGATCAATCCCAATCATCCTTTGTTTGGATTGAGGATGATGCCACCCCATCCCCAGTTCATGCCTCTCAACGGCATTCAAAGACCTCCGGGTTATGGTTTTCCATTACCAGTAAGAATTTTTTATTTATTCAATAGGCCCCTTGCATCAAAATTTTTTATTGCTGATTTCGATAGTCCATGAAAAATAAGTCAACACATGTTTTTTCTTTTTCTTGTTAGTCAAAAATTGACGGAGATATAAGGCTTTGAAATGTCCTTCCGACGTCATAACTTAGGTATAATACGTTGTGAGTTGTGACGTCGCACATGCTCAGTATATCTATATATAAAAAACTTAATATTTGTATAACTTCCGGAATAATCATATTTGGGAGGAATAAAAAAAAAGTAACGATTTTTTCTCGATTTCCCACAGATTGCAATAAACAATAATCAATTTAATTTTCCATGCAAGTACCCTATTATGGGACAACCCCATTAACAGTTTACAATTGACATACTTTTTGACTGTTGTGCAAAAATAGATTGTACTACTACTCAATACATCAATAGTATTAAAACTCACTTACAGCCTAATCAGATTCTTCTTAAACTTGCCTAGCGAGATATCAAATATATCGAGATGGTGAAAATTTATTAGTCTACAGTACTTATCCACTGTGGAATAGAAGCCATAGTTTGTTCTATGAAATGGGTCGTGAAAAGAAGACAATTCTTGCCTTCTACTTCTTATAGCTATTTCAAGATTTATACATTGCAACAAATCCTAAGAATCAATTTTCCCATTAAACAATCCATAATTAAATATTAATCCAGAAAAAGTTCTTATATCCTTCGAGTATTCAAATTAGGACGTTTCTCTAAGTAAGTATTATTATGGTCTTGAATTGCAACCTCTAATTCAAACATGCAAGAACTTGTGTTGAACTTTTTCCACTGTATAATCATGAGTATCCTAATATGGAGACCATACTATTGAGGCAAACTCTAGCGTTGACCTTACTAATGAGCAGCAATAAATACCTCTAATAGTGCCAACAGAAAAACACCTACAGTTTCTCAAAACAATGTCAAGCACCTTTGATCATTCCACTTTTATTGTATTGACATGCTGAAGAAAAGTTAATTCATCAAAAATTACTCCAAAATCCCTTACATTTGAAACATAGCCTAAAGCTCCCCCTCTCAAAGTGTTGCCTTTTTTTACCTTTAAAGAAACTTATCGGACAACACTTAGATAAGTTTAAGCTCAATTTATGAACTGCACACCAGTTTTTTAATCTATCCAAATCGTGCTGTAATAGTTGTTGGTCTTCTATATTATTTGTAATCCCAGAATATTTTAAATCATCAGCAAAAGCAAGTCCATCACTATTCTGAAAACAATCGAATAAAGAATTGACAAATAAAACGAAAAATAAGGGTGAACAGAGACCCCCATGCGGGACTCCTGAAGTAACAGGGATTATGTCAGGCTGAAAAGAACCTACACTTACTGATAGTTGATGACCTTTTAAAAAATTGTTGATTCAGTTTACTGCAGCTGCACCGAAACCCATACTATACAGACTTTTAAGAAAAATACAGTGGTCTACTCGATCAAACGCCTTGGAAAAATCTGTATAAATAAAGTTCATCAACTTGCTCAAAATTCGCCAATGCCCTGATTCTGTTGCTTTGATAACTCAACAAATTTGTCACAGTTGACTGCCCTGCACAAAAACCGTGTTGGCTTTTGTTTATTAGGCCTCGGCACAGCTACTTTAGCTGGTCACTCACTAAGCTATCAGACAATTTGGAAATGTATGACTGAATGCACACACTTCTATCTATAGTTATATAGCAACATTACTTCTCTCTCCACTTTTAAAAATTGGAACTAGAAAACTATGTTTCCATCTGTCTGGAAGAGTTGTAGATACCAATGATTTGTTAAATAGTTAGTGCAAAGAAATCACTAGAGCATTGCTTTTTTCAACTGTTTGGAATCCCGACCTAATGTATCCTTCTTATAAATGTCCTCTCTAGAAATCAAGCCTGAAATTATCAACATTCAACAGAGTTCCCAGGTCTGGTGAAGCATCCAGGTCTCCACTCCAGGGCCCGTATTCTCCTAGTCGGGGAACAGCGTTCTCAAGAGAACGATTGCTCTGTCTTTGTGCGTATCATGGAAATAACAAGATGGGCGAAAGAGAGAGCAATCGTTCTTTTGGGAACGCTGTTCCCCGGTGACAAGAATGCGGGCCCTGGGGTATAAACAGTCTCATAATATTCTTTAAATAATTTAATAATATCTTGTCCATTGTCAGCTTTACTCTCTTAAATTCATAATTTGGGGAAGGCCATTATTTGACTTCAAAATCTCTTATTATTATTAGAAATACAATAGCAGGTGGTCGAAACCGATGAAGCCATTGTTACTTTAACAAAATTTTAAAATGATATGTGAGATTTACTGTATGCACCATAATGAATTATTTTTTCTGTGTATTCTTTCGATTCTCTGTCAACACGATTTTTAAAAGTGTTTGGTGCTGAGAATGTACTTTGGAAAAGGAAATTCCAAGAATGCACCACACGGTTTACTATAAAGTTTTTCCTAGGTAGTTTTGATGATCTTTCCTTTTCGAGCTTCTTAGAATGGCCACGAAGATGAGGATTTCGACATGGATGGAAAATATTTATCAGTAATCACTGATAATAATCACTGGTTATTTTGTAGGTTTCAATTAAATTGCCTCTGTGCCTTCTTTCTTTAAGGGATGTCAAATTGAATTTGAGTAATCTTTCCGGACATTTTTTTTTTTTTTTTTTTTTTACGGACATGCGCACTCGCAAGGAAATGTCCTATCACGCTCGAGAAGCGGCAAGTGCGCGGAAATATCGGTGTATGTTGGTCTTGAAACGGTTCAGGTTGTAACCTGCAGGGAAAACCGTCGCAGGGAGTTTATTCCACAGCGATGCTGTTCTCCAGAGATATGAATTCTGATATAATGAGGTTCTTGGTGCCTCTAGTTTGACAGTAAATTCATGGTTACCGTCTGTTTGACGGGTTCGCCTGGTAGGTGCTACTCTCGGTGGAATCATACGTGCCACATCTTCAGAGCATTTTCAGTGATAGTACCTGTAGAAGAGAGATAAATCGCCCACAGATCTGCGATGTTCGAGACCATCCAAGTTACGAGTAAGTGCGGGGTCATTGATCAGCTTGATAGCTCGTTTTTGCACGGTATTCAAAAGCATTAAGGTATGTTTGGGTGCTGCACTCCATATATGTGAGCAGTACTCCATAGTTGGTCGAATCTGGGCTTTGTAGAGTGTCAGCAATTGGCTTGGTGTGTACAGATGTCTTGTACGAAATAGCACCCCCAGCTTTTGGGAGGCCCTTTTAGCAATATCTGCCACGTGACTGTGCCAAGACATGTTGGTCTCTGCAGTAACCCCCAAGATGTTCAACTGACTGTGTAATGTGACAGCACTTCCAGATAGCATTATGTTTGGCTCACCGGTGCTGGTGTTTTTTGAAAACAGAGCTGCTTGGGGTTTCTGCGCGTTGAACTGTACAAGGTTTTTGTTACCCCAGTCCTCTATTATCTCCAGGTCGTTATTTATCTGCGATATTTGAGTTAGTCTAAGATGATGGAATTCACGTGCGGAAAGACCTGTGGGTGGTATGAGTGAGGAGACTACATTGCCATCGTCTGCAAAGCAATAAAGTGGATTTACTGTTTTATCTATGAGGTCATTTATGTAAATCAGGAAAAGAGTTGGCGAAAGGATTGCTCCCTGTGGCACACCAGCATTTATTTGGTAAGAGTTGGAGTTCTGGCCATCCAGTGCAACATAAATGGATCTGTCCTTTAGGTAACTTTCAAACCAAGTGCAAAGTTTCGGCGATAATCCCATTGCTTTGAGCTTGTTGAGCAGATTTTCATGCCAAACTTTGTCGAATGCTTTAGATATATCTAAGGCAATTGTTCTTGTTTCACCCCGCAACTCAATCGCTTTTTGCCATAAGTGAGTGACGTATGTAAGTAAATCGCCAGTTGACCTATATTTTCGAAATCCGTATTGCTTATCGTTGATAATTTTGTACTTTTCCAAGTACTTGGTTAGGTGATTGTTCACAACTCTTTCCATTACTTTTGATATCACCGGAAGTAGAGCAATTGGTCTATAGTTTAACGGATCTGTCTTTTTTCCTTTCTTTGGAATGGGTTGTACTGCGGCAGACTTCCATGATGATGGATATACTCCTTGCCTGTAAGACAAATTGAATAATTTTGCGAAAGTTGGGGTGAGTTCGTTGGCGCAATTTTTGAGTACTATTGCGGGAATGCCATCCGGACCCATTGCTTTGTTTGTATCCAGCTTTTTTAGGGATTTTCGTATTTCTCTGTGACAAAAGGGTACCTCTGGCATACTATGGGAAACCCTTTCAATGAACGGTGGAGTTTTTCCGTTTGGCACTGTTAGGTTGGAGTTGGAGGAAAACATTTGGGCAAGCATATTGGCTTTTTCCTCTGATGTTGTGGCTAAGTGATTATTTTTATCTGTAAGTGGTGGTATGGATGACTTGGTGAAGTTAGATCCAACAGCTTTTGCAAGAGACCAAAAAGACCTAGAACTGCTTGGACAATTCAGCAACCTGTTTTTTATTCTTTGATTGTATGTTTCTTTAGCGGAGTCAATAGTAATTTTGCAACTATTTCTGGCTTCAATAAATTCTGTGTGGTTTTGAGCGGTTTGTTGTCGTTTCCAAAGGTTATATGCTCTGTGTTTTTTCTGTACAGCCGTTTGACACTGGCTGTTGAACCAAGGTTTTGCATTAGCTCTACGTTTAGTTGTATGTGGGATATATGCGTCCATTCCAGATAAGATTACTTGTGTTATTTCATTACAACAAATAGTGGGATCAGCTGTTTTAAAGCAAACCTCTTGCCATGGAAAATCCAGGTAATACTGTTTTAGGTCATTCCATTTTGCCGATTTATAGTGCCACATTTTACGAGGAAGCGGTTGTAGGCTTGGTGGGATGAGCATTTCGCACTTTGTTATTATAAGTTTATGATCGGACGAACCAAGTGGAGCATCTACTTGAATTGTGTA